AAAAAAGGTCTGTTTTACCATGCAGCAGATTTTTTCTTTGCTTAGTCTCATTCATTATTTCACACACCTCCATCTAACAAAGTCATTATTCTCTAGACTAACTTGCTTAAAGATGTATTAAATACTTGGGCCACTGACAATAAAATTCAAATAATTTCACAAAACACAGGCAGGTCACACTGATCATCGGTTTTTCAGTGAATGCTTTTTATGTTTTTTATGCTACACATTTAGACTTTACCACTAACAACCTAACAAAACAGTAGTTCAGACATTATCAGTAGCACGGGCTGTGGATGATCATACTTACCATTATGCTTGAAGTACTATACTTAAATAATACTTTGAATTATGAAGTTATAATCAATATTTTACACAGAATTGGTCATTTTGCTTGAAAAAATGATTGCATTCCCTTTGCACTCCTTTTTAGTGCATAAATCTAATTATATATTTAAAGTTTGAGTTAAAGATAGATGACTTAGCATGTGGTTTGATATAGGCATAAATAGGTGATGTAAACAAAGTTGTTTTTATTTTCTTTTTATTGCTTTTTGATAGTGGACGTTTTCACAGAAAAGGAGCTGTCAGTGTATTTTAAAATGTCAGTTGGTTTTAACCTCATGCCGCATAATTTGTAAAGGGTTCACATTTGGATCGAAGCGTTTAACTAATACACCGATAAATATCACTTTACCCTGACGCTTTCACAACTGTAACTTTTTCCACGATAAAAAATGCATGAGTAAAGCACTGAGTAAGTCTTACTGGGTGTCTGCTGAAATCTCCAAAACCTATTAGAAAGCGTATATTCATCATGAGCCAACAGACGAAGGCAAAGGAAACACCTTGGAGACACACTCTGCTAACAAAAACAACAAAACACGCCGGCCTCGAAAGCTCCTGTTTGCTAACCACACAAACAGAAACCTGACTTACATTTTCATTCATTTTTGCATGTCATCTCTTTCATATGCAAACTTTCAAAGTCACAGTATAAGCCAAGAATCATTCCCAGGGTGGTATAAATGGCTTTTATTCCCTTCATTAAACCAGCAGTGTAATTATTTGTAATAAACCAATGCTCGCCTCTGTTCGCTTTTATCAAATTACCTTGCTTTAAAGTAACCAAAGGTCAGTGTTTCAAACAGGTACTCCTTCAATTCAAAAATGATCCTATAGCACTTCATTATATAAGGTGCGCTCATCAAACCTGTTATTCTACCCATTCTAACTCCGCTTACTTCCATGCAAATCTGCCTGCGATTAAGTCTTTTCCCATGAAGTCAGGCTAAACACACAAACGCGCACACAGACTGAAAAAAGAGACAAAATGGTCCCACAACTTACCTTTCCGTGGGCAAGTTCAGACAGGTAGGAATCCCTAAGCTTCCTGGAAATCTTCAGGATAAACGCAGAAATAGTGTTCTTATTTTCTCCATTGCTGCTCATCTGTTATTCACTCGTTTCTGATCAACTCCACTGTCACAGTTGACCCAGATCTGTATGTTTACCTCTTTACGTCTGCTTCTCAACCTTTTTTGCTCTCTATC